AGGGGTACTAAAGTGTTCAAACTCTCGAACAAACATATGCTAAGGCATAACAAAGTTTTTTGACAACACTAAATCCTAATGGGTACAGATTTATCTCATGCTAAGGCATACCAAATTGGACTTTTAAGCCGAAAAAGGGAAAAAGCCACTATTTTGAGGTCGTATCGGCCCGATTAAAGAGCCTAAGGGCCATTACATTATTGAGCTCGAGGGTATCACCCTCGGATGTTATGTTTTCAAAGAACATGCTTCGTGTTAACAGGGTCTCGATAGGAAAATTTTGTAAAGGGTCAAACGAGCCGTACTAGATTGCCCGAGCCCTAATGACAAAACAAGTATGCATGAACAATTTATTGAAAGAAGTACCTTTTCCTTATCAGATATTCCATGCCTTAGTAAAATTTCTATTTTACAATTTCGTACTTACGATATTCTATAAAAACGGTTCAAGAGCCAATCGCAACTAAAGTTCGAGCAATTAACACCGTACCCGGGGACTGTCATCCAAAAATCGACATGCACGAATTTTAAACTTCAAAATCTTAGGACCTTAAAAAGGCAATCCTCGATTTTATAGGCCACGGCCACCCTACTCGGGGACTGATACTTCGAACAAGTTTGAAGTATAATCGAGAAATAAGCCCAATGCGCAAATATCGAGTTAAAGGCTACGGCCGAACTAACACGGTTTGGAGATGTTCGAATTTCGTAATAAAACATGCCTTCAAATATTTTCACAAAACCGGTTAAACAAGGCTACCCTCGGCAAAATTACAAAAGGATTTCGATAACATCAACCCTCGAAAATCTTAAGGGGTGCTAAATTGTTCGAACTCTCGAACAAACTTATGCTAAGGCATAATAAAGTTTTTTGACAACACTAAATCCTAATGGGTACAGATTTATCTCATGCTAAGGCATAACAAATTAAACTTTTAAGCCGAAGAAAGGGAAAAAACCACTATTTTGAGGCTGTATCGACCCGATTAAAGAGCCTAAGGGCCATTACATTATTGAGCTCGAGGGCTCACCCTCGCTTAACCAAAAACCAAGGGTTTTTACCACTCCGAGTTCGAGCAGGTACTCATTCGATTATAGAAATTATAACAATTCGATTTCAACAAAATCTTCACGAGGCAAAAAAGTGAGTTAAATTCCTCACGAGGTCTAAAGTATATCGGAATTATCATAAAGCGAAAACAAAACAAAGTTTTCAAAACAAAGATGAGAGACAAATCGAAAAGAAAAAGGATCTTTTATATATACGAGAGTATTTACAAAGACCACTTAGTGTCTTTCAATAAAAACCAAAAAAGAAGAAAAAAGTTCTAAGCGCCTAATCTTGCACGGGAGCTTCATCTTCATCTTCTCTGCTCTCGGACCCGCTCGCACTCCCGGAGTCATCATCATCAGCGAGCGAAGCTTCGGCTTCGGCTTCTAGCATTTTCGCATCATCGAGATCAGCCGTGAGGTCAAAGCCACGAGCGTGAATCTCCTTGAGGGTCTCTCTCCGAGACTGGCGCTTAGCATAATTGGCAACACATGATAATCGAACCTCAGCGGCGTTGCAAATTTCCTTTGCTCGAGTGTTAACGGCTTCAGCATCGGCTCGGTAGACGGCCACGATCGCCTCTGCCTCTGCCTCGACCTTCACTTTCTCCGCCTCGGATGTGGCTTTTGCAGGCTCAGTGGCCAACCGAGTCTCGAGCTCCTCAATTTTCTTAGCTCGGGTCAGGCTCTCATCCTTCACTCTTTGGAGTTGACGTTCAACCGAAGATAACTGGGCTTGGGCCGTATCTTTCTCCGAGGCGAGGCGGTCCATGTTCTGCTTCCACCCCAAAGTCTCTGCCTCCTCGCGAAGCTGCTCGATTTTCTCGGCGTTCTGCTGAACCTGCAGGATCTAAGTGTTAGTCTCCAATATAAAATTGATATGTCAAGCTCCTGAAAATTTACATTACCCGTTCGATAAGATCGGTCTGCTTTTTATGGGCTGTTGCCAATTCAGCTCGGAGGTCCCTCATCTCCTCTTCTTTTTGCACATAGAGGCGTTTGAGGGCGTCTCTCTCCTCCGTGACCTTTTGAGATCGGCCTCACACTAGTTCAGCTCGGCTTGGGATTTGGAAACGCTTCCCGATGAAGCGCCACAGCCAGTGGAAAAAGGAAGGAAATCAGACAAAAGGAAATAAAAACAAACATAAACCTAATAAGCAGAGCTGAAATTTACCTAGTTCAGGAGTTGCTGAGCCTCATCAAAAATGATCGTTGCATCCAGGTCGAAAACGTCATTGACCCTCGTAAAGCAGCCACGGAATATGTCATCTCCTTCGTGGGCAGTTCCTGTATCGGGGGTCTCCATAGACCGAGCCTCCCGAAGTTTCCCCTCAGAAAATGTGGGGTCGGGCGGCGAATCATCAATATCGATTCCCTCAAGCAAGTCACTTGGGCAACTCTCTCTCTTTTGAAGGGCCTTCGAACCGGACCCTTCGGGCACACTCACCGGTTGTTCGTCATGGCAGGAGACATCTTCGGCCCCCGATGACTCGGGGACTTTTCTTGGACCATCTTATGAGATCTCATCGGTCCGAGGATGAGCCTCCTCGGCCATCACCGGCTCAGTTGCTTTTGAAGCTTCGACGCTTCCCCTCTTTCGAGCCACCAGCTCACAGCCAGCATCTTCTCCCTCTTCTTCTTCATCTCGTAGTTTTTGGGCTACGGCAGCAGGCAGAGTGGCGGAGTCGTTCTTCGACTTACGAGCCTTGCTCTTCTTAGCCTTTGGGGTATTGGAAGGCGAGGCCCTTCTTCTTTTCTTGTCCTTAGCCGATTTCGGGGCCATCTCTTCCCCAGGCGGGGCCGATCTCATTTCAGCAACATCCCCGAGGCTTGCATAAAAGGGATCAAGTATAAATAAAAAGAAATGTTTCAGAAAAAAGCATCAAAAGCGTAGAGGATAAGCTTACCATGATTCTTGGCCTCCCATTGGCCCCTCGCTAAATCGCGCCACGAGCGCTCAGCATATGTGAAAGTCGAAGTCAGCTTCCGAACCCAACTTTCGAGGTTCCAGATTGCTCCGGGCACCCAGGGGACCGCTACATCACAAGAAAAGACATGGGTGAAAAAAGATGCGGGTGAAGGAAGATAAAAGAAACAAAGCAATCGACATAAGATGTTGATGGGTTTACTTATGCTTCATGTTCCATTCCTCGGGGAATGGCATTTTCTCGGCCAGGACTATATCGGAGGTCCTCACTCGGACAAACTGACCTCTATACTCGAGAACAACACCTTTGTGGCTCGGCGATGGAGCATTATTAATCCGCCCTGATAGAGACGGGGGCTATATAGTCTCATGAGGTAGTCGAGGGTAAATGGCATCCCTTCAACCTTACTCACGAAAAATCGAAGCAAGATAACAATGCGCCAAAAGGAGGGGTGTATCTGGCCAAGAGTTATTCGGTATTGGCGAAAGAAGTCGATAATAACGGGATCGACGGGACCCAGCGTGAAAGGGTAAGTGTAAACACTTAGAAACCCTTCCGCGTAAGTAGTAATATCCTCATCGGGGGTAGGAATCACCACCTATGCATTTTCCCAGTGGCAGTCCTTTTTCACCTGCTCGAGATCGCCTTTGGTTATCGAGCATATATACCTCGACAGGGGCTCACACCGGCCAGGTACCGAAGAGGGTTTTTCTATTTTGAAATCAGAAGAAAGGTCGCATGATCCGGGAATGCACTTTTTGATGTGTGGATCCACCGGCGTTTTATCACCGAACGGCCGCGATGAAGAGGCTTTGAACTTTTGTGGGACGGTTTTGGAGGTTTTCGCCATTAATTCAGGTAGAAGGAAGCGGAAAGAGGTGAAACTTGGTATTCTTGATACTAACAAAGTTGATTCAACGGGTGGTGAAAGAGAAGAGATGGAGAGAGTAAGAAACTTAGAAAACTTGGTGGATGTGAAAGTAAAATTTTGATTCAACCAAAGAGCCTATATTTATAGATTCACGACGACGGTTCGGTGGTGCTAGTGGCCGACTATCCACTGGCAAGCATTAATGGTTTGGGGAACTGTACCGACGGGACATTTCGGTCACCTCAATCGCTTACGTCATGGGGATGACATCATTATTGGGGTCTCCAGAAAATCGAGGCTCAAGTTGTTTCTTATCATTTTACTCTAAGAAACTAAGGGACTATCTATATACAGTAGAAATCAGGGCTACCCAATTTCATTCTTTGGTCGATATAGGAATGTCGCGTCAATGAGCTAGGACGTCGAGTCCGGAATCGAAGCCTCTTTTCGGATCGAGGTCGACGTCAATCACGGCCAGAAAGAGACAGACTCCGAGTGACATTAGTATAGCTTGATAATGGAAAAAGCGAGATATCCACGATCAGTCGAGGATCGTGGCGTGAATCTCGGAACGGATCAATCTAGGGCGGTTAATCAGATGTTAATATGGTTTTCTACTATAATTAGAAGTGTACCTTATTTAGGACTCCTCTATTATATAAAGAGGGATCCCATGTATTTGTAATCATCATTGTTCACTAATAAGAATATATACACTCGTTATTTTCCTGCTGTTTCACTTACTGTTCATTAGAGTTGCTTTATCATTTATTGTTCTTACTATTCCACCTCGAGACTATCCCGAGTCGAGGTTGAGACCTGGCTAGCATACTGGTTTGATTTATTTTATTCTCTAATTTATTCGTTTACTTTCTTGCTTATCGATTGGTATTGGACGAAATCGCATATCCTTAAAACCACAGTATAAGTTTAATTGTTATACGAATTTGAGGGTAAACAATATGAGTTAAATTAGTGATTTATAGTTTGGTAAATATAATTTTTGTGATGAGGAAGTTTTTGTCTTAATGTCTTAAATATTAATTTTATACTGCTACTTCTACTTTAATACCTTTTTAATTTGGCCAAATACCCCAAATTTCGATTAAAAAGAGTATCTCGTATATTATTTGTACGAGGTGTGAGTCACATTTTTTTTTTAATTCACATTTTCGAATTAGAATCAGATGTGCTACCCATCCTCTATTTCCCGGCATAAAAAAACCCTCCGGCCGCCAACTCCGACGGATTCGTGGTGCGGTTTCTCCGGAAGAATCTCTACATTCAAATTGCTAATACAGATTCAAGTTTTCGATCAAAATCCCCTTCGACGGAGGAGTTCGCCATTATCCGCAGCTTCGCATTGCTCTCTTTATATTCAACCTTATCATCGCAAAAGCCCTAACTGTGAACAGGTATGGCACCGGACTTCAAGCCTCTATTATATTTGCATTTTCCTTGATTTTCTGGCTTCATTCGGACAGAAATACTTGTGCAAAACCTAATGAGGTAGTATTTCTTAGTACTAGATGTAGACATATTATAACCCCAAGTGTTTCTTCCTCTTCACTGGTTTAAACCACTAGCTGTTCCAGAAAATTGCATTTTGCATACAAGCTCACTCTTATAAGGTGCATTTAGAGTATCATTTTTCAAATGAGTTCTTCATAAACAAACTGCAAACGGCATGTCACTAACCTTCTGTTACCAAAATTTTACTTTTGGAGCTGTGATTTACATATTTTTGGCAACAACTACATACTACTGGAATTTTCAAGCCAAAGTTATACATTTTGGTCAAAATTTCTAATGTATATAGTGTTCCGTTACAGATTGGCCGTATTTTGAAGCAGAAGAAAAAAGGGGAGTGGGAAGATGGAGTACATATTGAGGACTCTAACAAAGAAGCAAGAAGTGGATTCCATAATTAGAGATACAATCGACAAAGTTCTCGTCCTCCGCTTCGGCCGATCCTCTGATCCTCTTTGTCTCCAGCTCGACGACATCGTACGTCTTACTTCCTAATCTTTTCTGCTCCAGTTCCTTTTCATTTATCATCGAAAGAAGCACTACTCTTTTTTCAGAGAATTAAATATTTGGCCAGCAGAGGCCAATTGAGGATTTTAAGCCATTAGGGGAAAAGTTACCACCTCAATATACTCCTTTTGTTTTTAATTTATGACCACTAGTGTAACTTAGTATAATTCTATATGCTACAGGATTAAGTCATTAAATATCTAGTATTACAAGCAAAGGCGGATCCATGATTTGAATTTAATAGGTTCAACTTTTCGGATTCTTAGCACTGAACTTATTGTAGTTCTGAAATCATTTGTTCATAAGCTGTATGTTTCGTGTCGAAAATGGTGGGTTCAGTTGAACTCATTGAGTAGAGGCTACACCCTGCCTCTGACTACATCTTACAGTTTTTATAGTTAAAAAGTATTTAAAAGGTGATTGAAAAATTTTAGTAAGGAAAAAGAAAGCTATTTGGCTCCGCATATAGTAATAGTTCCGAAAAGTTGAGACGGATGAAGTATAATTTAGAAGTTACGACTAATATATATAGTTTTAGTTGAAAGCGATAGATAGCTGGAATAGGTGGATTTGCCCCCCGGTGACATTAATTTAACACTGAATAAGTTCTTACTATCCTTTTTGGAGTGGTTTGCTTACTTAATTGCTTCCTGTTGACTGCAGCTGTATAAATCTGTGAGAGAGGTGTCCAAGTTTGCGACTGTGGCTTTAGTTGATATTGATTCAGAGGACGTAAAAGTTTATGTCAAGTATTTTGATATAACCTTAGTACCATCAACTATTTTCTTCTTCAATGCCCATCATATGAAGATGGATTCTGGGTATGCGTTCTCTTTTGTTCAAAATTTTGAAGTTTTTTGCTATAGACATGTTCTTTATGTTGTATATGCTATAAGGACTGTAATCGATAATCTTGACCATATATCAGACACATTTTGTTGGCAAATTAAACCAATTCAAAATGCTGGAAGTTTTCCACAACAATTCAGGTAACTAGTTCGTTGGTCCTTCAATAAGGGGAAAATGAAATGACATTGACCTAATTCAAAGCAGCTATTTGCAAGTTGCAAGAGCCATATTTCTGTTCTGTTTTCTGTTGAGTGGAGGAGGGAAGAGAAAACTGTGAATGTTTGACATAATTTTAGGAAAAAGAAAGAGCAGGCGAGGCTACTCGAAAGAATAAGAGAAAAGAAAAAAGTATGTGTTATTCTATTGCCAAGTATTTGCAGATATTCATCTAGTTGCCACATCTTCCTACTTGCCTCCTCCCCTTGGTAGAGGATGTCTGATATTGGAGCATGTGCAAGGCATGTTTACACTACTTGGTTCTCTTTTTCTTCCTCTACCAAATGTCATGCTGCATAAATGTCAAAATTTCTCTTGGTCTATTTTAAAAAAAGGTTTATCTCTCCGTTTGGTAATTGTGTAATCATACTGCAAGACGAATTTATATAGCGAATTTGATAAGGACACTGCAACAGTTACTAAGTGAATACATGTATTATGCATATGTTGGAGACACTTGATGTGGTAGTTTTTCACAATATTTTAAGTATGGAGCTCTGTCGAGATTGAAGCTCTTACTTTTTTGTGATGGATGTTCTCCAGGAGTGCAGATCACACCAAGTGGGTTGGAGCATTTCAAAGAAAACAAGACTTCATTGATGTGGTAGAGGTATGGGATAACCTTGCAATTTTCTTTCTGAAGCATATTTGTTTTCCTATGATCCAGATAAATATGTATCAAGTTTATTTGCCCTTTGCTGCAAAGTGCAGCTTTTCAATCTTTGCGACTTGCTTATCTAACTTTTAAGGGTCTTTGAGTAGCACATTCTAAACTAGGTTCTTTAAGTCTCTATGGGTTCTAATGGTGCCAAAGCTTAGGAAGGTGTTTGGTTAAAAATTAAATATGGCGGTACCATAGCGATCACCAATACTGCATGACTAGTGTGCCGGAAATACTTGCATGAAGTTGATCCATCAATGCCATGTCTTTGATGGAGTCTAAAAGCCAGTGAAGATAAAATCACTTTGGCGGAATAATAGTTCATACATTTCATTGTAATCTCGCTCTTGTGGCTTTTTTAGTAAGGTGATGTACATTTGGTTTTGAAGAATGGCTGAGATATCTTGAGCTTCTAACTTCTAGACTCAAACTTCAGGTTTTTGTATGGTGGTTTGTCTAAAATTAGCTTATCCAGCTATTTGTCTCTGCATGCCTCCAGACATGAAGTTAGAACAAGATGAAACCTGCTTCAAGTTTTGGAAGACGTGGAAGGGAGAAGATGTTGGGTTTTAGTTGAAAGCTTGAGTTTGAATCAATCAAAGCTTGGTGGATTGTCTTTTCCTGTCTAGTGCTTACTTAATTTCAAATGCATGGCTGTTTGGAACCTCCTCTCTATGGATTTAAGAGCGTCTTTTAACTCACCTTCTAATGATGTGCGAGCATGACATGAATACATATCTTGTATAATTGTTGGTTTTACATAATTTACTAAGAAGGTTCCTGTGATTCTTTCTCAAGAAATAACCATTTTTGCTTCTTAAGATTATTATAAAGCTGCTACAACCAGGTCTGTGAAATCATCAAGGGTGCACCGAGATGCATATTTTTTCGGCATAAAGTGAAAACAAATGTAAAAATCTATAGTTTGAGATCCCTTTGCAATAATGTGAGAACTTATTTCTTTTCAAGGAGGAGATCTTCTAATAATGCATAAAAATCTGTTCATCAAATTTGTATTCATAAAATCCTTACATTGTTTTAATACCTGCATAGAGGTAATTATACTTTGTCCCTACACAAGTCTTCATATATATCACTCTCAAATTTTGAGATTCTTGGATTTCTTTCTATTCGGTTTATTGTAAGTTGGTTATCACAAATGGATCTTCACCTCCTTTCGAGGCATCAATTGTCGAATATAGCTGGGTAAGATTGGTTGAATCTAACGCCAGTGCATCTTAATTCAAGTGGCAAAGGTTGAGGGACTTGTGACTTAGGTCGCATGTTCGAGGTATGCGCCATGCAAACAAATCCTGATATTTAAGTGGAGAAGCGTAGAGGAGCAGCCCTGGGTTCGAGCACGGAATAGGCAAACTTAACCTGATAAAAAAAGGGTAGAGGGGTGGGTCCATTATCCCCGAGTTTTGAAGGCGGAGGTTGGTCCTAAGGATTGGCCCTAGACGGATTTCTTGGTTCATAAAATAAAGATGGTTATAATCCACCTATGTCTCCAGGTTGTAAAGATTTCCAACTTGCGGAGATCTTGAAGGATTATTTGCTAATTTGCAGTGTTTCTTGGGAGTCCAGCAACTATTTTGTCTATCAACTCAAACCATTGGAGAACGACTTTAGCTTCAGATAGATTTTCTTTGAGAGTGTTGACCTTTTCAATTAGTTCACAATTGATTGAACACCTGATGGATACAGTCTGCGTCTATGAGGTTCATAGGATTGTGTTCTTTATTCAGGAGCAAGCACACTAAAGTTCTTAGTCTATTTCTTTGAATCTGCTGAGCGGATGCTCTGATTAGTTTTCTTTTTTACAAGTCATGGTTGTGGTGTCATTTCTAATAGCTTTGCATTCCTACTTGTAAGCAGGCAATATTTAGAGGGGCCATGAAAGGCAAGCTCATAGTGACTTGTCCCCTTCCCCCAGACAGAATACCGAAGTTTCAGTTGCTGTACAAAGATGTTTAGGAGGTATGTCTGTCTTTGTAATTTTAGGTTGACAAGTTCCTAACTTGACATTTTTCCTTGTTTGATTAACAACCCTTCCTCTTCAGTACTTGTTGTGCAATTCTCTCTTAATTACTTCTCCTGTTTTAATGAATTACTTTATACTGTTGTGCCATTGAAATATTTCTGCTACCAATATGATACATATCTCCTTCCTCCAGGGAGAATTCCAAAATTTTCAGTTGCTATACAAATTTATTAGCTAGAAAACCTTTCTTTGTAAGTTTATGTCGACTAATCTTACTTGATATGTTTCGCCTTATGCCTTGTGCTAGTGTCTCTTTATTTTCTTCTCCTGTTTGAGTTAAGCAGTCCATTATTTACGCCATCGAATTATTTCTTATACCATAATGATTTAGCTGATTTATGAAATCTTCACATGGTTCAGCGTTTAGCTCATGAAATAGGCAAACTTCATTTAGTATCATGTTTCATATCGATAACATCAGAGGAACATATTAGCTACCACAGAATACGATAGGTTTTTAAGTTCTATCTTCCTGTATTGCCATTTTATGCATAAGAAGATGCAAGTCTTAGATATCTCTAACTTTCTATTGTTTAAGTACCTACATCTGCTATGTTTTGCTTGAACTTCCTCCAACCTTTTCTTTACTTGCATTTTTGTAAGTAAAATTGCATATTATCGCAGTCAAGTGTTTCGAATGACGTGGTCTATTTATATTTGAAGCGCTTATTGTCTGGTCTAAATTTTAAAACGTTGAAATTGTACGTGCTTTTGAAATGCTAATTGATGTGTTTGGTCTAAATTCTAAAACGATGAACTTGTACATGCATATTTGGTATGAGTAAGAAGAATTTCATGGAAAATATTTTTTATGAGGAATTCATTTTTTAGTATTTGGTTAAAGAAAATATTTTCTTTCAAAAGGGGGAAAGTATACTCCCTCCCTTTTCATTTTCTTTACAAATATTTAAATCTTACTCCATATCATTTGGTCCAACCAACAGTTAGACTTAATTATCAATCTTTATACTCAAAAAATTTCATCAAGACAGTATTCAATTTGCTGACATTATCATCCATCTTTAATAAATATTTTCCCGATCTCAATTTACCAATCAAATACTAGAAAGTGGGACAACCACTTTTCTTCTGGAAATATTTTCCGGTAGAACATTATTCAGGGAAAACATTTTCTGTCATATCAAACACAGCAAACTTAACTGATCTGATCCGATTCGCTTTTTCAAAATTGTTTTCGTATTACTGATGGTTGATCACTGAACTGCAGGATAAAACTCAGTGTCCGAGAGCCATTGTTTCTGGACGACTATATAACCATGACTAACCTGTGGAGTAAGTTGAGCGGGTTTTGAATTATCACTGAAATGGGAAAACTATATTGAAATTTTTTTATCAACGTGAGGAAGTGGATAGCAGCACAGTGATGTAGGCGTAAAATGTGCAGATGTCTTCTTGAATTAATGTAATATCATGACATTTCACTTGGATATTTTACTTGCTAGAAAGCCGTAGCAATCAGAGAGCATCAATTTCTGATGGAGTGGAACGATGCAAAGTGATAAAGGTGAAGAACCTTTCTCCCTACTAATAAAATTGTCATGGAAAACAGTACTAGAAAAACGTTTTTGTCACTATATAGACACTTACACATGCTCTGGTTTATTTTTCTTTTTTGGGAATAACCATATGGTATTTGGAAAAGAAATTTTCATAAAGCACTATCTTTTAGTGGTAATTTGCTTTTTATAGATACCATTTGTTATATTACGAATTGTAGATACATTTTCTGTTGTTATAAGATGTATTAGATATATTTAAGCTACTGTATTCATGAATACAGTAGCAAAAATATGCGTGAATTAGGGAAGTCTAGCTAATCAGTTGTTGTATTCGAATGTATTCATGGCGTGAAACATGAGATTATAGCTGGACTGATTATTGTATTTGACTTTATTCGATTGTGTTCACGATGTCAAACAGGGGATTACACTGTTTTTAAACGGAAAGTGAATGAATACAGTAGCAAAAATATGCGTGAATTAGGGAAGTCTAGCTAATCAGTTGTTGTATTCGAATGTATTCATGGCGTGAAACATGAGATTATAGCTGGAATGATTATTGTATTTGACTTTATTCGATTGTGTTCACGACGTCAAACAGGGGATTACACTGTTTTTAAACGGAAAGTGAATCAATTAACATAATAGACTCCTAATATAACTCAACAAACTCAATTATAACACACAAATTTTGTATTTCCAGTTATAAAAAAGATTCTCAACCGAAAAGTATTTCAAAAATTTAGCAATCTTCAGAGAAATTATATAATACATCTGAATACATAAATTATATTAGTTAAAAAAACATATGAATACATTCATGCCATATAGCGAGACACTGAATACAATGAAATGCATAGAATACAACGGGATATATTGAAATACAATGAAAAAAAAGACACTGAACACAATGAAATACATGGAATACAGCAAGATATATTGAATTACAATGAAAAAAAGACAATGAATACAACGAAATACATTAGTGCTCATCAAATTGATACCATTGTGGAACGACGAACTGCTACAGAGCCTATTATATATTCCTATGAGATAGAAAATGGAAAATAAAGTGAAAAATTGGAAGTCGTTGGATTTGAAACAAGCTAATCTGAATATGATTCTTTGTGGTGCATTACTAATTGAAGCAAAGAGAGAAATTTGAACTGAATAAACTGGAGTTGCAGGTTTATGGAGCCGCTGATCTCAAGAGTTCCGATGATGGTTATTGAAGGAAACCATGAGATTGAGCCTCAAATAGCAGGCCTCACATTCCAGTCGTACTTGACAAGATTTGCTGTTCCTTCAAAGGAATCTGGCTCTAACAGCAACTCGTGTTTTCAGGAATGGGGAAGAGAATGGCATGTATCAAAGTAGAGGGAGAAAGAAAATAGTGTAACTGAATAGCGTATTTAGTGGCTTAGGAGTAGGAGGTAACCAAAATGAGATATTTTGCTATAAACATTAAAAGGTATCTATAAAATATAATTTTTTAAATGGTATTTATTTAAAATAAATAAGGTGTTAACCTTTGCTATAGAAGGTAAAAATTCCTATTTGAAACCTGCTAGTCCGACTAGTGCGGATTCGCATTTTATAGGGCCCATTCAAGATGAAAGTGTTTCATATCAGGAGTTTTCCATTCCGAGTACTTGAGCCCGGGACCTGTGATTAAGGGTGGATGAATCATGTGTTTTAAAAGGCTTTTTTGGGACTCGTCTCCGCGCGGGGCACTATCAAAATGCCTTGAGAATTATGTGTGGGGCTAAGTTCTGTGAGGCTTACGCCTTGAAGCGCCTGACTATGCGCCCTAAACACGCCTAACACTCAACGTCCGGGGCTTGCCCAACAGATCCTACGCAAATCATGTGTCGAATTCACTAATTAGCACTTTTTACTCTCAAAAATCTTTAACGACCGAATAATTGAAGTTCTTTCATCTATATGAATATGAAAATTTTGAATAACTCAAATAGTGAACCATAATATTGTGTATTTACTAATTGAGAACATTGTTAGGTGTATATCATTTGAATATATTTTCTGAAAATAGATAGCCAAAGTTATATCTTTACTTGCTAGATCTTCATGTCCTAGTTTAATGTCGCTAAAAATTATTATACATCTATTATTTTGCTATTTAAAAATAATTTTGTATTTACTCATTAAGGAGTAATAATTTTAAATTATAGTATTGATAAAATTTATAGTATATTTATTATTATGGAGGTAAAATATGCATTTTGATAATATTTTCTTAGAAATTATAATTTATAATTTTTTGAAATTTAAGACGTTATAGTTGATTTATTAGTAAATTTAACATTACTACATTATTTATATTTGTAAAACCTACTATATATTTTATTTTCTATGAGTTTCTTTAATATTTTCAGTTTTCTTAAACTTTGAATGTACTTTTTATATTTTTTGTGTTATAATGCTATATTATTAATTTAAAAATTAAAACATTTAAAGATCCGTTGGGCTTACGCCTCGCCTTGTATCTAGTAAAACATTCCGCCTCACGCCTCCGCCTTTTAAAACAATGGATGAATCTCATCTATCTCACACACCGTCGCACACCCAATAGTGGTCATATTCTGTTTTAGTTAATATAGAAAGGTTAGTCGAAAGAAATCTTTATCATAACTGCTGTGCTATCTGTTTTGGGTTCTACAGAATATTTGCTGCATAAAAGTATTGTCGGGCTATTACGTAGTGAGGTCTACTAATGGGGAATAATTAGTAAAAATAGCGTGTGGTAGCCACTAAGTAAGGTGGTCTTTATTTTTTATCCACTAATTATAATGCTCAGCAAAAATAGCCACTACTAATAGGAAAAAGACAGTTTTACCCTTTCTTCAATTCTTATATTCCCAAACCCTTGTTTTAATCATTCAGAAGAGGGAAAGTTTGAGAGCGAATATTTCAGGGCAAGTTTCGTGTGCTCCTCAGTATCTGTATCGTCCTTGCATGCAAACCAGCTGCAGTTAATCTTTCTCCTTCTTCACCTTCTCTGCATCGAACGATCGAACTGGTATTTTTTTTTTCTTTTATGCATTTTTGTTTTGTATATGTGTAATCGTGATAAATGTTGTGTCATGTGTGAAATTTCAAAGATAATCATTATAAGTTGATTCAGTGTCGAATAAGTAGCGTATTTTTGTGAGGCTGTTATTCAGAATTTTTTGGTATTGAAATGTGTTTGTGGTTCAATCAATATATTTGATTATGTAAGGACATTTCATAAAAATAGTCGTACGAATTCATAAGCTAACTGCGTTTATGAATTTTTAGTTAACTGTGTTCATAAAAGTTAAGGACCAAACGACATTAACTTTTGAACTTGGAACTCAAAGTTAAGGACTGAGTGTCCTTAACTTTTGAACTTGAAACTTGAAGTTAAGGATCAAGTGTCCTTAACTTTGGAATTTGAAAGTTGAAGTTCAGGACCAAGTGTCCTTAACTTTTCAACTTGAAACTATAAGTTAAGGACTGTCTGTTCTTACCTTTTTAACTTGTAACTCCAAGTTAAGGACCAAGTGTCCTTAACTTTTGAACTTGAAACTATAAGTTAAGGTCTGCCTGTTCTTACCTTTTTAACTTGTAACTCTAAGTTAAGGACCAAGTGTCCTTAACTTTTGAACTTGTAAGTCAAAGTTCAGGACTAAGTGTCCTTAACTTTTGAACTTGAAATTCAAAGTTAAGGACCAAGTGTCCTTTACTTTTGAACTTGAAACTTGAAGTTCAGGACCAAGTGTCCTTAACTTTTCAACATGAAACTATAAGTTAAGGACTGCCCATCCTTAACTTTTTAACTTGAAACTTGAAGTTAAGGACCAAGTGTCCTTAACTTTTGAACTTGAAATTTGAAGTTCAGGACCTATTGTCCTTAACTTTTCAACTTGAAACTTTAAGTTAAGGACTGCCTGTCCTTAACTTTTTTACTTGAAACTTGAAGTTAAGGACCAAGTGCGTCGAACTTTTCAAGTTGTAACTGTAAGTCCTAATCTTTATGTTCTTTTTCCTTCTTTGTAGTGTGATAATGAAAGGAGATCGTGTGTTCGAGTTTGATGTTTGGCGTAATTTTATGATCTATTGGAACGGAGATTTACAGTATAAGGAAACAATCAAAACTTTTTTGTCAAACAGGCCGTGGAAGAAGTTGAGGGATGGTATTTTCGGAAACTTTTTCCGATTACAAAGTGTGAAGTTCTGTGGTAAACTTATTCACTGTGTATTGCTTTCAGAAATTGTAATAATGACCCTGATTCGATGACTTTCAAGGTTTTTGACCGTGAAATTAAGTTTACACGTGAAGCATTTTATATAATTACTGGTTTGAAGTGTTATTCTTCACTGGACATCAAATGTTTGCATGTAAAAGAGAATAGGCTTTCGAAAGTCTATTTCCCCGGAAAGGATAGAGTTGAATTGAGCGATTTGTTTAATTTTATTACTAGTCACCCACATGGTACAGCTGCATCATTTGTAGGCAGCGATGATGATGCTGTGAAGTTGGCAACAATTTATTTTGTTGAATCTGTTTTGATGGGGAGGCGGAAGAATAGGAATGTGTCCGAGCAGATAATGAAAATTGTAGACGATGATGAACTCTGCTCTTCTTTCAACTGTGGCTTTCTTTCTTATGAAACATTATTAAAATCATTGAAGAGTTGTTTGAAGCCCACTGAGAATGAGAATGAGAAAGAGAAAGACAAAGATAAAGACAAGGATAGCTACACTATACTTGGCTTTCCTTTTGCCTTTTGTGTTTGGATTATGGAAGTAATTCCTATTTTCCAGGAAAAACAATGTGTGAACTTCAGAGAATGTGGTTTTCCTCGGATGTTATGTTATTCGGATATGAAATCTCCACAATATGATTCTCTGTGTAAAAAATACTTCCATAATGAAAATGTAAGTTAATCTAATTACTAGCTAATTTTTTTGGTTTATTTGTCTTAGTTCTGAAAACTTATGTTTTTTTCGATTATATAATAGTTGTATCAGTTGATCGAGGTGGCACCATTTATTCCTATTGAAGAAGATACAGAGCTTATTAGTGTGCAAGAGCCAATTTCTCAAGATCAAAGCTCAATGCGTTCTTCCACACAATTTGATGAAGCCATGCTTAAGGAAATTGTTAAAGTAGATTTTCTGTCTTTGAATAGCATTAGTTTTTTATTTGATTATTTTTTGCTTAAGAGACTTTTTTTGTTTTTATGGTTTTTGATTCAGAGATTATCTATATCAGAAAAAAAGATTGAGAATGAAATCAAGGTAATATCATTAATTTCAGTTAGTCTAAGTTCAGGACCTTGTGTCCTTAACTTTTGAACTTGTAACTCAAAGTTAAGGACTGCCTGTCCTTAACTTTTGGACTTGTAA